CTGTAAACTGAACACATTTGAAGTGTTCCTCTAAGTTACCTGATGCTCTGCTGCTTTATAGATCACCATCATTTTCAAACCCTACGAGGGCTGTACGGACCAGAGGGTGTACCAGGCCGTCACGGACAACCTTCCGGCTGCCTTTGATGATGGAACCGTGAGCAGTGGCGACCCCATGCACAATTCTGCTGGTGCAGACGGAGCAAGCAGGAAGGTCCGGGCTCTGTGGATCTCCGAGCGCAGCCCAGGGCGCCACGTGGAGCTGCACGCTGGCTACATCGGCGTGACTGTAATTGTTCGCCAACTGGGGCGCTACTTGACCCTGGCGGTGCGGATCCCAGAGGAGCTGGCTCAGGCCTACGATGCCACCCAGGACCTGCAGCTCTGCCTGAACGGCTGCCCCAGCGCAGAGCGCATCGACCAGGCGGGGCATCTTCCCCTGCCCGTCTCCCCTCCTGCGCTTGGCCTGCAGCTTCAGCAGCTACGTCGGCCAAGCTACTCCTCACAGACACAAACATCCGCCTACGGCTCCACGCAGGTCTTTGGTGTGGAGGGGGCGAGGGAGCGGTGCAGGGAGCAACTGGAGGTAGAGGACATTTACTTCCACTCCTGTGTGTTTGACCTCCTGACCACCGGGGATGCTAACTTCACAGTGGCAGCATACAGTGCGCAGAAGGATATGGAGAGTCTCCATCCACACCGGGACAGCTGGAGGATCTACCCCCGTAGTTTTGCCACCTCCTCTTTACACTTTGATTCTCAAAATTTCAAACGGCTTGCCCTGCTCCTGCCATGTTTTCTGAGCACTGTGTTGATGTAATAGCGGGAGTCTTTGTGTGCGCCTGCATGTGTGTAGGTCTGGGTATGTGTGTGCACTACAAATAAATGGTTTGGAAGTTTTTTGCTGAGCACTGATACTTAACACTGGCACCTGTTTCTTGCAGTGAGGAACCAGCAGCCTGAGCAGTTATTAGGACTTTAATTTTCTTTAAAGGTGAAAGACCTCCCAGTGGACGCAGGACATGCTGGTGTCACTAAGTATAAGAGAATCAGCTCTCTGGAGGTAAAAAATGCAAAATAAAATAAACAAGACGTCACGACGGCTTCTACAATCTGTCTTCAACTTTGGATAGAACGCACCTGACAATGACACAAATGTCTCTGTGTGTTTAAATTGACTGTAAATAGTTCATTTTGTCTTCAGTGCACTGTGTAATGGAGTCAAGTTTGTTTTTGTGCCATTTGATGTGATTTTTTTTGAATACCTCAGATGAGGAGGTTTGTTTTAACAAATGCACTTTATTTTAATTTTTTCCACAAATCCACATCAGTGTTTTTTTGTTTTCTTTCACTTCATGTCCTCCATTAAAACTAGCTCAAACTTTGGAGCTCTGTGATTTGGTTTTGGATCCTTTCACAGTAAAAGTAAGTAGAACAATAGGAGATGTCATTTATTTTTAAGTGCAACAAGTACTAGCTGATTTGCTTCAGCATTTTATTTTAAGTAATGTGAGCTGTTCTGTTGAATGTATTTTGAAACTCGTCACAGCGAATGCCATCAGTACTACTTTGTTTTTCTCATGCCTGACTTTGGCTGCTTGTGTGAGTCTGTGTGTTTGTGGGTGCTTCAGTGTTTTTCTTTTAATGTGTCAAAGTGTTTTCATTTCAGCTGATTAGAAGAAGTCCCGCCTTTTTGCTAAGACGCTGTGACTTTACAGGCTCGTGTTTTTTACTCGGTCTACTTTTTTTTATTATTCGTAAAATTTGAGCCAAAGACAGATTTTTTTATTTTTATTTTTTTTTGTTTCTTGTGCAGCGAAAATCAAAACTCAACACCAAACCAGCACCCTCCACCCTCTCGGAGTCTTTTTCTCCCTAGTTTTTAAACTTACTACTGTAGATTGGTTTTGTTGGAACTGACAAGCTGCTCCTTGTTGGGATACATGTAAAATACTGGAGAGAAAGCAGTGCAAATTACTGAAGAAACCTTATCACGCTAGGCTGTGTTTTCTGCATCAGCGTTGTGTTTTAAGAATTTGATACCTGGTAGAAGTTTCTACCTTTAAAAAAAGCCTGTGAGCCTTTTGAACATGTAACATTCTCTGTAATTACGCCAAGTTTGTTTGACGATATTGGTTCATCTCAGTTTTTTTTTGTTGTTTTTTTGGCATTGTGGTCTCTTACAACATGTGTGAGTGAAGAGTGACTGATCAATGTTGAAATACTTAACTTATTTATGAACGTAGTGCCCCGTAGAGGAAGTTAAGCTCCATATTCTTGCTGTTAAATAATAATTTAAAAAATGTCAGATGTGATTGTACTGCCACCTAGTGGTAATCTGTTGATATGTCAGTGTGTTACTCAAGGCTCTCAAAAAAAGGAAAAAAAAAGGAAATAAACTGTGTGAGTGTTTTATTTAAAAAAGCGAACAAACATGAAAGTCAACACAGTTCGATTTTACTGTCTATTAATTTTACATTCACAGGAATATAAAAAGAAAAATGAACATACTAATAAAGTAAAACAGTATTAATGAGTAAACAAACAAACAAAAAAAATGAACAAACTTTGAGCTGAAATTCACCCACAGGAGTTTAGAGTTAAATAAGAGCGAGACTGTACACACACACCTTCCCACAGAAGCATTAAGCCATCTGTCTGTGGTTAGCTTTTGATCAGATAACAGGTTTGGCCTCACAAACACGATCTGTTTTCAACTGCCAAAGGCAGCGACACCTGGATGTCTCTGTGAAAAGGCAGAAAAAGGCGCGTCTTTAAGCGTTACAGCATACTCCTGTCATCCTGGCAATGGATCATTTCCCGTTTAATCCGTCAAACCATGTCCTTAAAATCAACCACATGAGTGGGAACATACTCATTATCTTCCAGTGAAGAAAACTCCTCTATGAAGACTTCAGACCAGAAACAGTTATCCTCTCTAGGTTAGTTTCCTTGTCAAGGTCATATGTTGCATGAGAAACCCATTTCCATCGATCTGAAAAGTCAAATACTCCGTTCAGACTTACATAATTAAATAAAATCAAATGAATTACACTCATAGAAATACAAGAAGATTTACAGACGTATAATAATCAATGACATGCCTGCATGCAAAGGTACATCTGTGTACTGCATGATGGTACTTACCACTTAATAACAACATAAATGGTCATCAGAGTGTCAAAGGCGAGGATCTTCATGAGAAGCAGCCTCATAACCAGGATAACCACTGTGTTTGTCCACACATCAATGCCTGAGAGCAAACCATGCAGACCAGTATAAGATATCCTCGTGTGTCAATTTATTGATTTCTTCTTTTTTTTTTTTCATTTTTGAGCAACAACAAATTACCTTTAATTTTTTCTTCTTCGTGGCACAGTTTGTCTTGATGATCTGAAAAGATAAAATGTGAAATTCCAGCTCCAAATTTACAGATATGGTCACATGAACTCATCTTTACCTGATGAGGTGATGCGGCGTCTCCTCTTGCTTTTTGAGTGTCTCTTGCGACTTACTGAGCAACTGTATGATGGCCAGTCTCTGGTTGTCACAGTGATAACAGCCACCGCATTGGGGACATGGTGCTTCCTGGTTAAAGCGATGCTGTATGGCGTGGTGGGCATGTGACCCTCTGACGCTGAGCTCCAGCTGACCTCCAAGTGCCCTCTCCTGAAGTCATTCACAATGCACACCAGCAGGGTCCAACCAAGCCTCTCCCCTGACAGGTGAACTGGAGGTGCCAGTGAAGCCAGCACATCGCCCTCTACCCCTCCTGATTCAGGTGGAGCACAGAAGATCAAATAAAAAAAAAATCAAAAACAGAGGTAAGTTGTGTGCGAATCTTTGCAGTGATGAATTATTCTCGTTGCTGAGCTCTTATCACACATATATGTTTTATAATCAAAGTGGTGATATGTTTATATGTACTACATGTATTTCTGAATTTCATGTAGTAACTCCAGGAGCTAAAATTAATGTATGCCACCAGAGATGAAGGATATTTCCTACCTGCTATTTTCTGTGTGAATAATTAAACTAACTTTTATTGACTTGCAACAGTTACAGAGGAGACCTCTTAAAACCAAATTCCTAGAAATCCTTCTTTAAAGTCAGTGTTGTGGACATTTATGATTCATGTGATCATTTAAGACTAATTATTCTTTCATATTGATTCAAAAGATATATTTGAAAATATATTTAAACTTCTTACCTGTCCACAAATAGATGATAGGAAGGTAAAAGAGACCCCTGGATGGCTCAGTCATGTCAGCTTCAGTTAGAGTGACTTTTGTGATTACTGATCATTCTGTGCGTTAGTGTATGTGTTTGTGTGGCTTGTGTATGTGTGTGCTAAATGGGGGCATGCCATTTGGCTTTGGCAGGAGCATTGCATTGTGGGGGACTCACATGTCTCATTGTTGTGACCTTATACTAACAATGGAACCCCTTTGCCCCCACCCAAATGCCTGCACAAAACCCAAACACATGCACACACAGACACAGGGACAGAGAGAAAGAGACAGGAGGACTGTGTGAGCTTTGGATATGTAAAGCACTATCTGCATTTACAGAGAAAGGACAAAACAGAGGACAAAACGGAGGACAAAACAGAGGACAGGACAGAGAACGGGACAGAGTATTTTGGACAGCAGCAGAGAGTAGCTGCAGTAACTGGAGAGACACACCTGCTCGCAGCTGTTAGATCTGAGGTGAGAAACTGATAATATCACCAAACCCAGAACATTAGACAAAACTCTTGTAGGTTACACCTGCACACACACACACACACACACACACACACACACACACACACACACACACACACACACACATGATACGCACGCACACACACATATGCATGCACACACGCACACAAAGAGTTTTGTGTCATCACTAGTGGGTGGAAACTTAAAAGGGAAAGTGAAAGTTACAGCAGGGCCTTAAAGGAAGCATGATGAAGCTAAAATGACTGAGGTAACGCATTTTGACATTTCTTTAAAACTTTACATCTGAAGCAGACTTTAGACGGGGCTTTTTTAGCACACTCCAACATTTAAACGCTCTTCCACCGTCTGGTGCATTTCTGGTGAGCTCAGAGGTTGCAGCAAGCAGCCTTACCTTTTCACTATGGTACAGCACAACTAATGTCTCGGTAACCCGATTTGAACTGCAGCTCCTGCAGCTGTTGTCACCTTACAGTTATAGCTGTGTCCTTATTTTGTTTTGTCCACATGGAAAGTCATGTGGCTTTTTTGTCACATGTTGGATTCTCTTTCAGGACGAGACATGTTGTAGCCTAACATCCAGCAGCGTGGTTCAGTATAACACCATTACTGTAAGCCCTTTCTCTAATTGCTGCTTCGCTGTGCGAGGAAGAGAAATTAACATCAGACCAGGGGTTCCAAGTGAAGTCACTTTAAGTCCTGCAGTGTTGAAAAATCTTTTTTTGGTAGTAGAAATAGGTAAAAACCACAGAATTCATCAATTAAAGTTTGTCCAAATTTTACAGCATGCACCTTTGAAACCATTTGCCATATTTGGAAGGAGGACTTTCTTAGACCTCTACAGATAAGAAGAAGAATAAAGGGTTCGTCCCAGAGACTCATGTGTTCATGATCTTTCATTTGTGTCTTTCAGGTTTAAGGAAAGAAGTCCCAAGAGCTTGCTGTTCTTGCTTTTGCTTCCTCAATATCATCATCTGACAGTCACTTCAGCTCCCTCTTATTTTTTCCCTGTGTTCAGGATATGATAGAGTGATATTAACACTATCTGTCAGCCTGTCACGTCAGAGTTTGGCATCTTTCTAATAGGTTGTAGAAATTCATTTAGTCTGCAATGGTCTCTGCCAGGCTGTTGGTGCTGTCCCTCTTCAGCGCGTCTCTGGTTGGGTCTCAGCCCACAGAGAGTTCACAACAGGTTTCAAGCCCTCCTGCTCATCCTGCAGGGGAACCATCTCTGAGTATCGATAACCTGTCCTTCCCCTGGAGTCGCCTTCGCCTACCAAAGTAAGTTCTGCACTCGCTTTTAAATATTGTATTAAAATAAATCAATCAATAACAAGAAAGCTGATGGATATTTGTCAATGTCTTAATTTATCTCAGGTACATCATTCCTCTTCACTATCACCTCCTCCTGCACCCCAACCTCACAAGTCTAAGTTTCACTGGCTCAGTGCAGATTCAGATTGATGTGCAGAACAATACAAACTGGGTCGTATTACACAGCAAGGGTCTTCAGATCTCCAAAGCCACCATATTAGACCAGAACCTCACTCATCTATCCGAACAGGTAGTTGTGAATGCACATCAGCTCTTTTGTCATTGTGGCCTACATCAGACCCATCAATCTCCTTCTGTTCCAGGTCCTCCCAGTTCTTCATAACCCTTCCCATGAGCAGATAGGCATTTTTTCTCCCAGAGTGCTCAGCAGTGGGCAGAAGTATTTCCTGTATATCGAGTTTGGAGCAGAACTTGCGGAAGGTTTCTATGGCTTCTATAAGAGCACCTACAGAACCAGTACAGGAGAGACCAGGTGAGACCAGGTGTACTATTCCACAGCATGGACTGTAAGCTATCTTACACATACCTACAAGTGTCTTTTCTAAAAATCTGATAATATCTATTCTTAGAACCTTGGCTTCAACTCATTTTGAGCCTACGAGTGCTCGAATGGCATTCCCTTGTTTCGATGAGCCAAGCTTCAAAGCTAATTTCTCTGTACGAATTAGGAGACGTCCCGAGTACATTTCTCTGTCCAACATGCCAGTAGTAAGTGTTGCATATGTGCCAGTTGTCACAAATGTTCAAATGAAAACAAAACAAAACAAAAGCACTTCAATTGAGTTTTTGTGGTTTTCAGATCAAAACAGTTGAAGTCAGCGGTGACTTGCTTGAGGACCAGTTTGCTCCAAGTGTACAGATGAGTACTTACCTCGTGGCGTTTGTCATTTGTGACTTTAAGTCTGTCACTGGAACAACATCCTCTGGGGTGCAGGTGTGGTCTACATGATAATGTCTCGTATGAAATGCCTTCATTTCTTCCTTACTTTCTCAGTCTAAGTGCCTGTTTCTTGTGTTTTCACTGCAGGTTTCCATCTATGCAGCCCCAGAGAAGTGGCAACAAACCCACTATGCCCTGGAGGTTGCTGTTAAAATGCTAGACTTCTATGAGGAGTTTTTCAACATTCGCTATCCTTTACCCAAACAAGGTAATTTTTTTTTTTTTTTTTGCTTTGAGAACAAAGCCAGAAATATAAACTATAAGTATCCTGATCCATGTGCTCTTCTTTCAGATCTGATAGCCATTCCAGACTTCCAGTCTGGTGCTATGGAAAACTGGGGTCTGACCACCTACAGAGAGACCAGTCTTCTCTACGACCCCCTCACATCCTCTGTTTCTGATAAACTCTGGGTTACAATGGTCATTGGCCATGAGCTCGCCCATCAGGTGGGAGTATGACAGTATATGCATACAGTAATGACATGCAGGTTTAAATGGTGTCAGGCATTCACTCTATTACAGAAAGAGTCAAAATTATATTTCTTGCTGGCAGTGGTTTGGCAACCTGGTGACCATGGAGTGGTGGAACGATATCTGGCTGAATGAAGGATTTGCCAGATACATGGAGTACATTTCTGTGGAAGCCACTTACCCGGACCTCAAAGTGGTATGTGCTTTAATCATTGATTGACAGATTAATATTAAACCTGAGAAAGAAGATTAATATTCATATTGTGTGCTCACTCTTGCAGGAGGAATATCTGCTGCACACCTGCTTTGCAGCTGTGGGTCACGATTCATTGAACTCCTCTCGGCCAATATCTAGCCCAGCAGAGAACCCCACTCAGATCAAAGAGATGTTTGACACAGTCTCTTATGACAAAGTATGTCTTTGTCTTTGCATGTTTCAAAATGTTTCTTTGACAGAAAATCTTTTCAAAACCTTTTTTTTCCATTTGCTTGATGTAAACACTCCTTTGAGCCTCCAGGACTTGTCCCGACCTTTTCTCTCTTTCTTACCAGGGCGCTTGTGTCCTGCACATGCTGCGACACTTTCTGACAGATGAAGTGTTTCAGAGAGGGATCGTGCGATACCTCCGCAAGTACAGCTACAAAAATGCACACAATCAGGATCTGTGGGACAGTCTGGCCAACGTAAGAACCCAAATTACACTAACTGTGTCAAAAGGCACCGTTTTCTTTTGTGTAAATTATGAGAGATGGTCAAAGTAACACGCAGCCTGACAGAGATATATTTTACATTATTTGGCTTTTTTCCCCATATGTGGTCCAAACTATTTTAGTAGATCATGAAACTAAAAAGGCGACATAAGAGTTTGATTACAGGTAGATAGAACAGATATTCATTGAAAGCTTCTGCTTGTCCTTTTATTTCTGAAGTACTCACCTTTTTATGATAGTTTGTCATCTTGACGTTATCATGAAAGAGCAGATCGTGACAGATCCACAGTTATGTTATGTTAACACAACACTTGACATACAAACACTAACTTTTAAGAAAGTAACTCCAAATTGAATTGAGAAAATAACTTTAAACTTTGGGTTACTGACTTGAAATTTTGGGATGACAATCCAGAATTTCAATATATAAAAGGATTTTTTTTTTCTAGTTGCAGAGACAAGCTTAAAGGTTTCAGTATAAAAAGATTTGTAGTCTTAACCATAATCGCTGAGAAGAGGCAGGATGAAGTAGAGGAGAGGAGGGAATACTGGGACCCAGAGTACGTGACTCTGTCTCAGATTTTTGTTGACTAATAATACACTACCCTTATAATGGTTTCTGTAACAGCTGGGACTCCATCAGATGATAGTCTTTAGTTTTTTTTTAATGTAGCCCATAAAAATGTAGGTTTTACAAATAAGCATTTTAAACTTCTGGTAACAGCAGTGTTATAGATCTGTTGTTATTTGTTTTCGTTCCAAACAGCTAAGGTTTTCCATTTCATGGTGCAAAAATCGATTAGCCCAGACTTTAAAGTTGCTTAGAGTAGCTAAAGTAATAAACAAAGTGAACATTAAATCTGTTTTACTGCAGTCAGTGTTCTGTCTGTGCCTGGTAAAGCTGTAATGAGTGCAGACTGACTGAAAAAAAAGAATGCATTGCCTTTCCAGGCAAAAATAACAAGAGACAAAAAAAAGCAATCACAGTGTACAATGTAATGGATTATCAATGTCAAGCAAATTTAAAATCCCATTATAACAATCACATCCAAAAATTAAATGAAATACATGTCAGGATATGCTAGAGAGAGGTCCCAAATTTACAAGGAAGGCAAAATAAACAAAAAAAGCTGAGATACAGAAAGTCTAATTGGCTAGAAAAGAAAACAAGGTAGGAATCAAAAAGCAGCTCAAGAAAGACCAGAAACAAGAGGTAGAAAAATTAAGGACAAACAATCTGACAGGTGATGATATTAAACACAACTAAATAGGTCGAAACAGTCTGGCATGGCAGAAAAATAATAGGAAGTAAATCCAGAAAATGTGAAACTTCCAGAATAAAACAGTTGTTAACCAAGAAGGCTAATAACTAATGAAACATTAAAACTAACTAAACATGAACACTCACACAGAGTCTGGAACAAGATCAGGGACAACAAAACCCACAGTCTTAAGCAGTTGAAATAAAGGCAACTGTTTGTGAAAATTAAGTCTAATTGCTTTCATCTTAAAGACTATCAAGCATTGGATGACTGAGCACCTACTGAGACAACAAAACCCATATATATATAACAAGAACCATGACTGTAGTGTATTATAACCCGTGTTGGGATTGTCACTCAAAAAAGTAATTTAATAAACATTGCTTGTTACTTTGTTACTTTATTTAATTACTCACAGAAGAAAGTAATTTGTTACACTACTCGTTACATTACATTATTTTCATGTTTCTCTGTAAAATTACCTGAAATGCATTGTCACATAATTACTGGTTAGCAATATAATTCTTAGGCTACAGTCCCACACACCAAGACAAATCCCTATCCTAATGAGTATACACACAAGAGCTTTCTTTTAGTTTTCCTGAATGAACACAAAAAACGACAACCCAAAGCAAAGCTGAAAACCAGCCGAAAGAGTTCTTAAAGCGAATGCCAAGATGAATTTACTGTAGCGACATTTACAAGTAGCAACAGAGGTTACAATGTTACAAGCCTTTCTGTTCATTACTGTTTTTGTTACCTGTGGAAGTTCCGTCTCTGGCTGCTGGACTGGGGTCAGCATGCATTCGGCTTTAACATCGCTCTGGGTTCCAAAGAGCCGAAGGTCTGTTAGCACTATAAAGCAGTTCTTTCTGTCTTGGACACAGTTGGTATTTCACCATTGCACTCTTGTCCTTTCTTTGAATAAAAATAAAAGTAATGTCAATTTCTCCTCGCTCAAAAGCCGTAGACCTACTCCAAAATGTTCCTCATCCTGCACACAAATTTAAATCAGCTGATTGTAGAAAAATTCAAAGACAGCATAAAATCATCCCTTTCATTCTGTTTTTCAGACCTGCTCAGAGGAGGACTTCATCTCAGGGAAACACTGTTACAGCAGTAGCCAGGCCTCCAAAAATGCAGTGAGCAAACATTTAAAAATAAACTCACTGGGTCGTCTTCGCTGCTTACCTCATATAAATGTCACATAGTTTATAAGATTGTGGTTGCATGTTAATTTCAGTGGACTGTCTCCTACAGTACCTGTTTGCTGGGGAACATTTGAACCTAACAGCCATGATGAACACGTGGACTCTGCAGAAAGGTATCCCTCTGGTAACTGTGACGAGGAAGGGGGCTCGTCTGCTGCTTAGACAGGACAGATTCCTGAAGACAGTGCTGCCCTCTGACCCTCAGTGGTCCACTTTACAGAAGGGGTAAATACGCACATGCCTTTCTAAAATTTTCTACTATTTAACACATTGTTATGTTACTCTACATGTAACTCCTCTATGTATTACTACCATGACTTCTGTTTAAGATGAAGGATTTGTATCTTTTGTGAGTATAAATTTCTTTTTTGTATAGTTTCCTTTGGCATATTCCTCTGACATATAAGACAGACAGTTCCAGCACCATCCACAGACACCTGATGACATCACCTACAGGTAAGAGGGGAATATAAAATTGAATAAAGCTGAATAAAAAGTTTTCACTTTTCTTTGCCATTATCTTGGTCTTTGCTCCATCTTTTACTGTATATGTTTTATTCAGATAGTATACATATAGGAGAGGAAGCCAGCTGGGTTAAGGTAAACTCTGATATGACGGGCTATTACATGGTTCATTATGAGGATGGTGGCTGGGATGTGATGACTAAACTGCTGAGGGAAAACCACACTGCTCTGAGCTACAAAGACAGAACTCATTTGATACACAATGCCTTTCAGTTGGTCACGTAAGTATATGTTTGTGTGTGTAACTGTTTGTGGTTTACGTGAGCTAGCAAGAGGTTTCTGTATAAGAAAACAGCTTTGATTACTAAAAGTAAAATAGAAAACAATAATCTTCTCTTTATATTTATTTCTTCTAAAGCGCTGGTCATCTGCCGCTCAATAAAGCCTTAGACTTAATCGGTTATCTGCTACTGGAAACGCACACAGTGCCTCTCCTCCAAGGACTGGGATATCTAGAAGCTTTTTACCATCTGGTTGAGAAAAGAGATGAGTCAGTTTTAACACATAACCTGGGGGTAAGAACGCAGGACACAGTTTGATTTTTTTTTATGGCATTATGGCATTAGTTTAATGTGAGTTGTTGTTTCTGTTGTCCTGTGTTTCTACAGGCATACATCTTGCGATTTTTCCGTGCCATCATCGACCAGCAGACGTGGAGTGACAGCGGCACTGTATCAGAGCGCCGTCTTAGGACTGAGGTCCTGTCACTGGCTTGTCACCTGGATGACCCTCCCTGTGTGAAGCGGGCACGTCAGCACTTCAGCGACTGGCTCCAGTCCAACGGAACCCTCAAGTATATCTAAACTACACTTCAACACTCATTCACAGTCAGCAACCACATATATGATTCACATAAACAACTGCTCTTTCCTGTGCTAAGAGAGCTCATATAATCTGATATGTCACCATATCCCTAATATGCACGTCTGTGTTTGTGTTTACTTCAGCCTGCCCACTGATGTGGCAGAGACTGTGTATTCAGTTGGAGCTCAGGATGACCACGGCTGGGCCTCGCTCTTACACACATACAAGATTTCCCTCTCTGAGGCACAAAAGCACAAGATCCTGTATGCTTTGACCAGCAGCAAAGACACCAGCAAACTTGAAGGGTATGTTGTCTTCATGCTGTTGTTGGAAAATATAGCAGAAATGCTGCCACCTTGTGGTAAACATGGAGGCATGTATGGATTAGTAACCTCAAAGTCTGAGCCTACTTATTGAAGTGTATGGTAAGCTGAAATTGAATTTTAGTCAGTAGTCTTTGTGTTCATGTTTGTGTTTTTGTTACAGCCTGCTGGAGCTGGGTTTGGAGGGAAAGGTGATTCGATCCCAGGATCTGTCCACTCTCATACTGATGGTAGCCAGAAATCCGAAAGGACATTACCTTGCATGGGACTTTGTGAAAAAGAACTGGGACACACTAGTTCAGAAGTCAGTATAACAGAGACTGTCCTAAAAGCGTGCCATATAAATGCAGTTTTTAATGCTATTTTTAACTATAGCATATTCAGTGAAATCTTTTCCCCCCCTCAAACTGGCCTTGTGATCTAGATTTGCGTTGTAGTGTTTAAAAGTACCATATCATACAAGCACCACAGTCTGGATATTCAGATATATTTGTCTTGACCTTCTTGTCTGTTGTCTTTCTGGTCTCCAGGTTCCAGCTGGGCTCATTTTGCATTAGAAACATCATCATTGGCACCACAAGTCAGTTTTCCTCTCCAGAAGAACTCACTGAGGTAAATAACATGGTTTATATTCCACAAAGAAGTTTAGATATATTGATATTCTGAGAGGTCAAATAACTAATATGTGCTAGCCTTGTTGCAGTTATAACTGAACGAGTAGTTTTCTTTGAACTTTTTTGTCTGTTTTCACTTAAATAGTTGTGTTTTTGCCCCCAGGTGCAGTCATTCTTTGAGTCCATCAAAGAACAGGCTTCTCAGCTGAGAGCTACTCAGATTGCCCTGGACAATGTACTGAAAAATGTCCGCTGGGTTCAGAGGAACCTGGAGACGCTGAGAAAATGGCTGAATGAGCAGATGCAGTGAAAGACAGCAGGGACAAAGGTGGTGGCTTTAACATACCACAGAGGGACTATCTCACAGTTTTTTTTTATTTGTTTTTTATTCAGAAATGTATATGCTTGAAATCACTGAAGGGTTGACAGACTTGTAAATACAAAACATGTGAATTTCAGGGAATTTGTTGATTAAAACAAGAACTAAAAATTACTGGCAGCTAAGTGGTAATGGTTTGTATAAGAATAAGTTTTGTGTTATTTTTAGTGTGTGTGAAACAAAGAGATTCATTCCAAAGAGGCAAGAAACACAGCATAAATGGATGCTTCACCATCAGGGGCAGAGCCCATGGGTGGCCAGGGGTGGCAACGGCTACAACAGACCAAAGTCTGACTACTCACTGCAACCAGTGATGAAGTCATTAGGGAGCCACAAATATAGTCAGAATTCACACTGAGTTGGGACTATATTTTTTTTTAGTTTTTCACTACAGTTGTTCTCACACAAACAGACTTTGACATCAGCCACACGCAAGTAAAATTTGAGAAGCTGGTAAAAAACAAACAACGAAAAAAGCAATGTCAGCATCAGAAGGGGCAAGTCTGCAGAATTTGAGAAAGATAGGTCACATGACAGTAAACCAAAAGAGGAAAAGAGCTAAACAAGTTTGTCAAATTTAGTAAATACATAAATAAACTGGAAAAATATAGCTAAGATCGGACTCTTATTAAAAGCAAACAGTAGTTAAATTATGTTTTAAGGAATGGAGTTCTTCCTGACCCTCCAATGCACTGCACAGTTCCTGGCTTTACCATATTCTTTATGTGCCTGAACAAGAACAATGAGCAGAAGCCAGTTATCTAAAGGAGTCATATAATGAAACAGAAGCCTTGTTACACATTCACAAACATCAGAATCAAAACAAACGGGTTTGAAGTTAAACACGAACAGTTAAAAGAGTACTTACAAAAATCAAATTATTAAACACAACTGTTAATGCACAGTTATGCTCCTCAGTATTCAAATCAAATGCAATGACTTGTTTGCTTTAAGCTGTAATTTTTTATATATATCAACAACATAAAAAGAAATAAACTTTGTAAATTTTCAAGATTTTTTATTATGCCCTCATGTGGAAAGAAAACATTACAGCCATGTCATGAAAAAGCAATTAAATGAAGATTGTTTTCCCCACATTTTCACACATGAGAAAAAGAATGCACAACAGTGCCACCACAGTGTAAGTAATAGTTTCACCCTGACCACATCTATACAAATGGCCAGATTCCAACACAGTTCACTACATGGACAATAAAAGAGTTTGTTGTACCTCCTGTATCTGCGTTTTTGTTGCATAAACTGAAACATATCCTTTATGTCTTGAGTGTAGATTGTGTACGCCTATATTATGTTAGGGTCTTGGTATAAATACTTAATGCCTATCATTAGGATTTAGGCTGTAAATGAAAGTAAAACAATTTAAATAGCATGACAACAAAAACAAGGGAGAGAATAAAGGAGTAGGAAGAAGTATAAGCTTATTATTCCCACCACATCGCCACTGTTTAGTATAATCATCATTGTAACTTCCTATTTAAGTTCTGTCCCATCATAAATCTTTATTTGTTGTTATTATACTAAAACAACAAAAAAACACACATAGTCCAAAACGTGGAACTTGTTAATGATCTGAAGGCAGTTGGGACCACAGTCACAGAGAACACTTTCTGTAACACACTACACTGTAATGGACTGAAATCTTGCAGTGCCTGCAAGGTCTCCCTGCTCAAGAGGGCACAGTACAGGCCGTCTTAAGTTTGCCAGTGAACATCTAAATGATCCAGAGAAGATTTGGGGTCATTTCTGCTAAGGGTACAGGACAACTTAACTACAATGAAGGGTTGATGGACGGCACTGTAAAATCTGGATGAAAACCTCCTTCCCTAAGCCGGAATACTAAAGATGGGTCGTGGATGATAAAACCAAAACAAAACATACCACCAAGTCCACAAAGGAGTGGCTAAAGAAGAAGCAAATTATGATCATGCTGTTGCCTAGACAGTCTCTAGACCTCAGTCCTACAGAAAATCTGTGGAGGGAGCTGAAAAACAGCAACCAAGAACCCTAAAGAAGAGGGAACAAACCTGCTGACCAACTCCAAAAAACATCTTACTGCTGTGCTTGTCAAGAAGGGTTTGTTTTGCTTGGGATCAAATAGTCCCCTCAATGACATGAAAATCAACCTATAACTTTTATCTGTTTTTCTTGATTATAGTTTGATATTATGTCTCTCGCGATTAAAATGAAACTATCATAAAATCTAGGCACTGGTCATCTCTTTGGAAGTCAACAGGGAATGGAATAATTATTTCCCCCACTTTACACAAACATGCATACACATCCAAAATAGAATATAAAAACGCTGTATTTACCATATACACGAACGTCGTCCTCTCAGGAGAACCAAAAAACCTTTTTTGGTAGGGGCGCATGCATCCGTCGTGCACGTGGCCCCGCCTCCCGGTGGGAACATCCAATCAGATGTGAGTATTGTAATTTGACGGGAGGTCGTCAACAACTGATCGGAGAGGAGGAAAAGTGTCATTTGCTCGTGTGTTTGTTGTTTGCCGAGCGTTTTAGCGAGCAAGAGTAGTTCATGTGTTTTTAGCTCAAGGTGTATTAGTTAACGACAACCGCCCCTTACTCGCTTTTTAACTTGAATAAACAGCTATGGGCGATAAAGTTATGGAAAGCGGCTAACGTTAGCTAACTGAATGTATTTCAGTCGGTTACAATTGTCAGAAGTTGGCTAGTTTCAGGCTAGCTACTACGTAGTTAGCTACCGCTAGTGTAGTGTCAGGGAGCCTGCGGTGGGTTGTTGCCAGCGATAAAATCATCTCGGCTGCCTAGCGTCTTTGAGAGTGCAGAGGTTTCCCAATTTTTTTGTTTTGGACGGGACAAGATCTTTTGAGATATCTTACCATGGATTTGTTTGACAGTAACAGTTCAGGTAAGTAGACACGGGCAGAAGGTACAGTAAAAGAGCAAGCTAACAGCAGCAGGCCAGCTAATAACTGTCGGGACATTTGGCTGGGAGTGACATTCACCCGAGGACACATGCTGCGATTGACTTTTTAAAAACTGTATTAAAGCAGCTTTGTCTTTGCTGCGTAATTTCCTTAATTTGACTCTCAGAATCGATCTTGTTGATTGTTGATAGTCCTACCGTGACACGACACTTACATTTGCATACGAGTTTCATTTCCCCATAAGCATCAATCAGTGGGCTGCTTAAATATTTTAACTGAAATAAAGATAGTGAAACACAACAGAAGTTGTGTTAACACAGCACCCTGTTACGTTTCAAGTTATCTGTAACAGCATCACTGTTCGCTCGATTTAAGTGTGCTTGGTTTGATAGCTGCTGTGTTTTCTCCTGACGTGGAGCGCCGATAAGTCACGCTCCCAGCCGCTCATGTTGTTTATAACCTCTGTTATGGTCCCAGGACGTGTATTGTTTTATTAGAGCAAACAAAAGAGAGGGCTGTGTACACACTATAACAGCTCAGAGGAAAGTAGCAGCAGCAGCAAAATCACTGTAGTTTGACTTCCTGTTTTTGTGTATCTTTGCGTGCATGTAAGGAGGTTTGATTGTGACTTGGTGATTTTCTGAGACCAAACTTGTATTTCGCAATCACATTTTCATCAGATAATGATGTTAAAACGTTTACATATTCTCCCTTCCTATAAACTTTAAACAGTGAGCCATTTTTCAGTGTGTTTTCTGTGTTTTATTACTTGGGGACACACCTGCCAAACACAGGCACATATTTAGTTGTAGTTCTGTGAGTCTGCTGTTGGGTTTGTACTTGTTTTGCATAAACAGGAAAACCCCAGTTTGCCGATAGACTGCTTTAGTGTATTTACACACAGACCTGTGGGTGTTTTACATTTATCCTGCTTAATCATAACCATCACCATAACCACTTCTCTCTTCTGAGAATGTCATTTTGCTCATATGAAATATCTGTTTAACGTGTTTAGTCACTGCTATTCTTATAAACCCTTGTAGACCTTCCACTTTGCCCATTGCTTAGCTCCTAACCTATTTATAGATATTCATCATGCAGCAGTGTGGTCCAGACAGAGAGACTGTGTCGACCCACGCTGTCATATCAGAAACACTGTACTGAGCACACAAGGAGCAAAATAATTCACCTCTGACATTTCTGGTCTGCTGACTTTCTTTGGGAGTTAAAGCTCATCTTTGTTTGCTGTAGTTGTTTTTGAGTGAACACTTTAGGTGTTCAGTGTCTTTCTGTGCTTTCCACTTACAGCCATGAAATGGAAAGTGAAAACTGTTTAGGCTGTAAAACCATGAATGGACTGTGGGGCTGAAACTGCAGAGTTGCACAGTTCAGCATTTTAATACTTTAGTTATTGAATTAGGAAGTTGAACATGCCTCTGATTGTGTCAGGAATTACTGTGGGGAGAGTCTGGCTTCCAGGCAGTGACTTAAAGTTTGTAAAACAAGGCCTTCTCTTGTCATAAAGCTGCATATGCAGGTTAGTTTGAGGAAATGCACGCCTTTAAAAACTGCATGTGACATGGTCTAGTGATGAGTAGTCTTTGCTTTAGCGTTTTCCTATTTGGGGACTTTTTTCACTTCTTTTCCCCGTGAAGAAGAAGTTATTCCAGGTTTGTAATGTCTGCAGTTTAGTCTTTCAACAACCTGATAAACCTGTTCTGTGTAGATAAAAGAAGCAGGAAATACTGAAGAAGGTGTTCTAACGGGAAATTGCAAAAACTCTGGGAGCACTTTATGAAACGTGGCTTTGTGTTGAAAGCGCATTCAGTGACAACATTGCTCTTTGTGCCAGATAGTCTCTTCTGCTACTCTGTAATTCTACATCTTAATTCTGTTACATCTCTCTCCTTTCAATCATTTCCCTTTTTTTTTTTAGCAGCATCTGTCTGATTTCTCTTCCTCTTTGTGCTACAGAGCGTGCCAGCCTGCCGAGGAACATGATTGAGAACAGCATGTTTGAAGAAGAGCCCGATGTTGTGGATTTAGCCAAAGACTCCACAGCCTTTCCGGTATGCCAGTATGTCAGGGTTGATAATGTGAGCGAATTGGGGCAAATAGTTGCAAGCTGCTTCTGTCTGACAATGCTATCTCTTCATCATGGTAATACTTCATATGCAGTTTTAGTTTTCAGTCACCGCAGTGATGCTGCATCATACAGCCTTATAGATAAAGTCTTTACACTTTCTCATGCTCTAATAGTCACCAAATCCTCTCTTAAAGCTCCTCGATCCTTTTGCAGCTGCAGAAAGGACAGCTACAATCATTATTAAAACACATCTTCTTTCATTACCTGTTATCTGGACCCTTCTCTTACCTGATTATTGTTTTTATCATTCATTCCTCTGCACTCAGTCTCGTCACCCCCTCTACATATGACATTTTACCTCGTGCTAACTAACTTACATGGAAAGTCTATACAATGAATAGGAATCTGCATGATTTAACCAGAGGATAATAGAACCTACTGGATATGCTCTCTCCAGACGTTTCCTGCTCTTGATCCAGATGAAGTGACATATGAACCCCGTAGTTCACGGTTACTTGTGCGAGGCCTGGGGGAAAACGACATGGATGACGATGAGGAGGACTGCGAGTCTTCAGCACGTTTGTTGGGCATGTCTTTTATGAACCGAAGCTCTGCTCACAGATCCAACTCTTCTCCTTACACCAGACAGGCACCACCAAGGTAAAGTAGGGTTCATCATATGGGATAATGTGCAGCAAGTTTACTTAAAAAATTATTTTTTTCTCTGTGGCATATAGGGCTTCATAAATACTTTAGTATTATTATATGATCTGAGTATTTTTGGAAAACAAATTTTGACTTAGTGAGTCGGAAGATAAAAGTACAGCATGTACAACAACATTGGTAGTCCCTGTTTGCCCAGCAGAGTTGTTAGTACTGTTGAAAAACAAATATATATTTATGAAGAGACATGCTGTTAGGAGTCCTGTCAGAAAACTTGTGGCTACAATTCCAATTTTGTTTTAAAACTATATTATGTCATTGTGCCAAGAATGCAATGACAGCAATGACAACACAGGCTAAGATGGTCTAAGTTTGAGTTGTGCTTCCGGATCAAAAAAGTAACCATTAAATATAGCAAAGTCATAGTTAAAATAATTGTGCAGGTTAACCTTAAAGTACTGTTATTGACTACATAAGGTAAATGTTAAAAAAAAGCTGTATGCAGATACCACATCCTGCCACATAATAAAAAACTTTCGCATGTGAAGGCTTCAACTTTCACCGGCAAACTGTCTCATACTGAAAGATGATCATTTTTATACTCGCTGTCTAAATGCCGGTTATGAAAGCTCGCATGAACCAAAACTTGACAATCGAGTTAGCAGAGAGATCCTCTTCATATTTAAAATGAGTTAGTGTAAGTAATGTTAATCTCGTTTTGATTTCAGGTCATGTTCACGACCCTCATCACGTACTATAGTTGTATGTGTGTTATTCCTCGTGATAGTGGCCTCAGTGACCATGGTATTCTACTTCCTACCTGGCTGCACCTTTACTAAAGTAAGGAAAATATTAATTAGTCTTCAAGAATATCAATTTCAGAGCAAAAACATTTTCTTTTTCTCCATGCTCAGTCACAGATTCATTGCTCACTCCAACTCTCTATCCTTTGCAGGCAGGTTGTCCTAAACCAAACAAGACCAATCCCATTGAGCCAGTCTACCCCATCTCCACAAATGGTGAATTGTTTCCATGGGCACAGCTCCGACTCCCTCAAAGCATAAAACCTCTCAGCTATGACCTCACCCTGAACCCCGACCTCGACAAAATGACCTTCACGGGCAGAACTGTTATCAGCATGTCTATACTTCACAGCACAAACCGCATTGTATTCCATGGTGCTAATTTCAACATTACCAAAGCAACCTTCAAAGTGAAGAGAATTTTTTGTGTTCTGATGAATAAATTTACTTTTTTTTTTTTTTGTCTGCTAGTATGTGACTAACACTTTCTCTCTTCCAGTTGGGTGATGGGCAGGCCAGTGATGTGACTGTACTGGAATACAAACCCAGACAGCAGTTAGCTGTTAATTTCTCAGAGGAGCTGAAAGCAGGCCAGTACTGTGTTTTGACAATGGAATATTCTGCCAACTTCTCAAACGCATATGACGGTTTCTACAAGAGCTTCTACACTGATAAGGATGGAAACAAAAGGTACCCCTTGCTCATTGGCTGTTTATTAGCAGGCTACTTACCACAAGCTTTTAAGGTGGTGGTAATTAAGGCATTACTTAAAAAGTTCTTATTTGTTCCAGCTGTTGTAACTAATTATAGACTGTTTTAATCTTCCTTTTAGTTCAAAGAATCTTGAAAGACTAGTTAACTAGACTAGTTAATCAGTCAAGATTGAGAGTGCATCATAGCACTGAAACAGTATTAGTGAAGGTTATGAATCTTCTAATGGCCTTTGGCAATGAACCAATGAACTCATATCTGCATTTGTCCTGTTAGACCTCAGTACAGTGTTTGCTACCACTGACCACAAGATTTTACTACAGATATTAGAACATACTGTTTGTATTAGAGGAACTGTGCTGCAATGGTCTGAGTCATACAGTGGGGCAAAAAAGTATTTAGTCAGCCACCGATTGTGCAAGTTCCCCCAC